ACATGCAATGAGAAGTCACTGCTATCCCATTCAAATTATACCATTTATAGTGGTGAGATAAATCTGTGAACCATTTATATTTTCTGGTTTCTCTATCCTCTATTCTTATCATCAGTATATTTGTAAAAATTGGGGTTAAAGGCATAGTCTATAATAAAAAAATAGAATTATCTTTTGTAAGTTTGATTGTTATATTTGGGACTGAAACCATGAGTATAATTTCATAGGTTTATGAACCTTACTTTTATTAAAATAATGAAAAAAATTTTATTATTCCTTAAATTTTTTTGAATTCATTTTCCAGACTACATTTAGCATATTGTTCTTTCGACAGTACCCTATATTTCATTTCTATATAAAGTGGATTTAAAATTAAAATCAGACCAAGCAGGTCTACAAGTTTCATTTATTTGCAAAACCATTGTGACCAAATTTCAAGACAGAAAATGAAACGCTGTCTGTTACACTAACAGTATTTCAGAGGAAACTGACTTAAATGAAGTGCTTCTTTCCCCTCTTTTGGGGGGTCCAGGAAATGAAAGATAGACTAGAGAGTCCAACTAAGTATGTTACAATTATCTCAACTTGATCTTTATCAAACTTCTAAAAGGATGATTCAGCTACCTATGAAGAAAAGTATCAGCAAGTGGCTAGAACAAGGAGATAGAGGAAATGAGAGAGGCTCCTGTGAACACTTTATACCAATGCCTGTAGCACTTTTGATTTTTAGGGGTGAATACACTCAGTTAAGTGGAAATTATTTTTAACCATTTTCCATCAATCTTCCTCAGGTAGAGATAATTTATAGAACAGATGGCTCGGACTGGGGTTATATCAGGATTTTTGATATGGTGGTATAATATTTCTAAGAGAAACTCTGCTAGACTGAGTATTTGGTTAATTTGTTCAAGAAGTATAGTCTATGTTGTAAAAATTCTGCTGCTACTGTCTGGAGCCTTGAAAAGAGTTCTCTTCACAAGAAATAAAAATGCTATACTTCAATAGGTCCAAGGACATTTACTTTCCATTGTGAGAAAATAAAATGCTTAAAAACAATTTACAAATCACCAAATGATATTTTAAATAAAAAGTCAGAACTAAAATTAGTTTCTATAAAATGGATATAAATGACTTTCTCCTACCAAGTTTAAAACAAAGAACCAGAGTCATAAATAATTCTGCTTGCCAGAGGCATGGCTATTTCTTTATACTGACTGTCGACTATCTAATTTAATTAGAGGTATTAAACTTCATGCCGAGGTCAACAAGCCTTACTTCCTCCAATATTACACTTCAACCAGTGCTCATTAATGTGTCTACTGAATGGATTAACACACCTAAAGATATATGTACAAAGGACAGGGGGGACAACCTAATGATATCCAATTGTTCATTTGTAATAGGACACATGTTCTAGGCTTCAACTTATTACCACTAATGTGGAATTTATTAAATTCAGGAGAAAAAATACCAATACAGAAAGTGATTTTTTTTATTAAGGAGAACTGCTATAAGACAACTGGCTTCTATGATTAAGTTTAAACATTTAACCTATTAAAAATAAAGTGATACTATAATAGAGCTAAAATATAAGCCTGTTATTTAGAAAAATCCTATATAGTAGGACTCTAAGAAGCAGATCAAGGGCAAGAATCACAGAAAATAGGGAAAAGGGAAAATTGGTATATAGAGAAATCAATGTTTATAAGTTTTTTTTATGTCTATGAAAAGAAGGTTTAGACTAGTCATACTGAATTATGAGATCAGGTAAATATTCCCTTTCTGCTGGACTTAAAAGTTGCTTGTCATTTCTTTCTTTTTTTTTTTTTTTTTGAGACAGAGTCTCACTCTGTTGCCCTGCCTAGAGTGAGTGCTGTGGCGTTAGCCTAGCTCACAGCAACCTCAAACTCCTGGGCTCAAGCGATCCTACTGCCTCAGCCTCCTGAGTAGCTGGGACTATAGGCATGCACCACCATGCCTGGCTAATTTTTTCTATATATATTTTTAGTTGTCCAGATAATTTCTTTCTATTTTTTTAGTAGAGATGGGGTTTTGCTCTTGCTCAGGCTGGTCTGGAACTCCTGAGCTCAAACAATCCGCCCGTCTCGGCCTCCCAGAGTGCTAGGATTACAGGCATGAGCCACTGCGCCCGGCCTGATTGTCATTTCTTAAAGAAGAATGATAATATTAGGAGTTATTTCATTACTACATTATTCATACATATAGAATTAACTGAAACACTGTTTCAACTTAGTCTGACATTGATAGAGTAGACTTAAATTGATTTAAATTACTACTTGAGAAAATAAGACATTTCTGCAAAGACATATACAATGGCCAATAAGTACATGAAAGGATGATCAACATCATTAGTCAGCAGAGAAATGCAAATCAAAACCACAACAAAATACCATTTCACACCTACTAGGATGGCTATAATTTTCTTAAAAAATGGAAAATAACAAGTGTTGGCAGGGATGGAGAACAACTGGAACTCTTTTACATTGTTGGCAGAAGTGTAAAATGGTGCAGCTATTGTGGAAAACAGTTTGACAATCCTTCAGAAAGTTAAACATACAATTTTGGGTATATTTTGGGTATAGACCTAGGACTAAAATTACTAGATAGATATTTCCCAAATAATTTAAAAACAGTGATTTAAACAGATACTTGTACACCAATGTTCATTGCAGTATTATTCATAATAGCCAAATAGTAGAAACAGCCCAGGGTCCTTCAACGAATGAATGGATAAAAAAATGTGATATATACACACACACAAACACTAGATTATCGGTTAAAAAAAGTAATGAAATTATGACACATGCTACAACATAAATGGACCTTGAAAACATTATGCTAAAATAAGAGAGGCACGAAAGTACAAATATTGTATGATTCCTCTTATATGAGATTCCTAGAATTGGCAAATTCATAGAGAAAGTAGATTAAAGGTTACCAGGGGCTAAGGCGGAGGGAGGAATGTGGAATTACTTTAATGTGTACAGAGTTTCTGTTTGGAACAATAAAAAAATTCTGGGTCTTCCAGTTTCTAGTCCAGCATATAAAGAGCTTAGAAGTCACCACTCTGTCCTAACAAGTAAAAAGCCAAACAAACTGAAAAATCAACAATTCTTAGATCCATCAGAGAAGCGAGGTCACAGGGAAAACTGCTCCCCCCGGCCCCTACTCAACTGGAGAGAGGAAAATCACAGCTTATTGGAGCAGACACTCACGAGCAGAAACTTTCATGGAATCCAGTGCCAGTATAGGAAAACCTGAACTGTAACTGAACTGCTGGAGGCTCAATGTAGACAAGTCTGAGAGTTAAAAACTCCAAGGAGTGGGCAAAGGACATGAACAGAAACTTTTCAAAAGTAGACAGACTAATGGCTAACAAACATATGAAAAAATGCTTAACATCTCTAATCATCAGGAAAATGCAAATCAAAACCACAATGAGATATCACTTATCCCCAGTGAGAATGGCCTTTATCAAAAAGTCCCAAAACAATAATAAATGTTGGCGTGGATGCAGAGAGATAGGAACACTCATACACTGCTGGTGGGACTGCAAACTAGTGCAACCTCTGTGGAAAGCAGTATGGAGACACCTCAAAGAGATACAAGTAGAACTACCATTTGATCCAGCAATCCCATTACTGGGCATCTACCCAAAGAAAAAAAATGCATTCTGTAAAAAAGACATCTGCCCTAGAATGTTTTTAGCAGCACAATTCACAATCGCAAATATGTGGAAACAACCCAGTACTTAGCAATACATGAGTGGATTAATAAAATGTGGTATATGTATATTATGGGGTTCTACTCAGCCACAAAACAAAATGGTGATTTAGCACCTCTTGTATTATCCGGGATAGAGCTGGTACCCATTCTACTAATTTAATTTACACAAAAGTGTAAATTAAAACCAGGTGTGAGATATAAGTTCACACTTGTTAGGATGCTATTACCAAAAAGACAAAACAAAAAATGTTGGTGAGGGTGTGGAGAAAAGTGAACCCCGAACACTGCTGGTGGGAATATAGACTGGTATAGCAATTATGGAAAAAAGTATGGAGGTTCTTAAAGAAATTAAAAATAGAACTACCAGTTGATCCATCAATCCTTCTTCTGGGGATATACCCAAAGCAGATGAAATCACCAGCTCCTAAAGATACCTGTACTCCTATGTTCATTGTAGCATTATTCACAATGGCCAAGATATGGAAATATCCAAAGTGTCCACTGATGGACAAATGGATATAGAAAATGTGGTATCCATACACAATGGAATATTATACAACCTTAAAAAAGGAGATACGGCCATTTGCCACAACATGGATGACCTGGAAGACATTATTATGCTAAGTGAAATAAGCCAGATACAGAAAGAAAAATATTGTGTGATATCACTTATACATGGAGTCATTAAAAAAAAGATCAAATATACAGAGATAGATAATAAAACAGTGGTTACCAAGGGTAGAGTAGGGGGGAGAGGGAGGAAATGGGGACCGGTAGGCCAAAGGATACAAAGCAGATATGTGGGATGATAAGGCTAGAGATCTAATGTAAGAGAACTATAGTTAAGAAAATTGTATGGCATTTGGAATTTTTGTTAGATAAGTAGATTTTAGCTGCTTTTGTCATACACAGAAAGTAACTATATAATGGGACAGATATGTAATTCTGCTTCACTACAGTAACAATTTTACTATCTATACACATACCAGAACATGGTATTGTAAACCTTGAATATATACAATAAAGTTAAAAATAAAAAGACTGTAATCTTCAGTTACATCATTGTTCTTTAAGAAAAACAGTTTGCTGTACAACAATCCTGTTTTTGAAAACAGTATTAGGTGAAGAGTAGAGCACTACAACCAGAAATAGTGCTTGATCAATTATTAATAGATTACTTACATATTTATGTATTAATTTTCTTAATTACTAAGATTTTAACTCTAAAATACTTTTTTTTTCTCAGAACTTACTTTTTTGGTCAAAGAATCATCAGAATCAGAAGGCATTCTTGTTGATACGTGAAATATCACTTCTACTGTAGAGGTAGCAAAATATGGAGTGGTCAATCCAGTGCTTTTGTTTTTTTGTAGTCCTCCCATAAAACCACAATGGTTTGTAAGATTTATCTAGAAGCAATGAAGAGCCATACAAAATTAATCAACTGAACAAACTCAAAAATGCTATTGAAAAGACTCAAACTTCTCACTTTACAAAAACATTGGAAATAAAGTCTTTTGCATGTTATTAACCAATACTTAATCTAGAATTATTATTAGTTAGAGCTGATCTGTTCCCACTTGCATTTTTCTAAAGTATTTGAGGATCCCTAATTAGTAGGAGTTGATTAGGAAAGAAATGAACTGCTGTGTACTACGCATCTTTTGTTAGGCTACTAGGTGTTAATGGTATATTATAAAGGGTGTCAGGGGACCCCTAGGCCAGAGAGCAAACATTAAATCTGGAAATGCTTTGGAGAAAAGTTAAAATAGTAATGTTAATTTGATAAAATGATCAAATTAGGTGTGTTGTATTTACTAATAAAGCTGGCTTCTTTGTTTGTACATATCATAACTCAGAACAAAAAGAAAACATGCAGAACTTAAATATAATTACATTTAAAAACCAAATTAATCTGTACAAATATTTTTAAAAAATTTATTTCCTGATTATAAATATAATACACAATAATATCAGGATCGTTGCATTAGATTATATTTCCTGGACTTGTGTGATGTACAGAAGCCAAGAATTTGTGTTCACTGTAGAAAATGAGGGATATATAGGAAAAAGAAAAACTGAAAATCATCTGTATCTCTCCACTCAGAGAACACAATTTATGCATATACTTTACTATAATAAAAGCTGAATATCTGATAAAATTGAGAATTACATAAACAAATCCCTGCACCATGTAAATGGAACAAATATCAGTATCAGTTACTAATGGTTGAACATGTGATTGACACATTAGTTTTTATGACATTATTATAAGATTGCCTCAATCTCTTAGTTTTTTAAATTTATTTTTTTGGTTCAGTAATACATTTACATAATTAGAAATTCAAAAGTATAAAAAGGTATACTAAAATTCTTCCTTCTATATTTTTCACCTGTAGCTACTCAGTTCTCCTCACAGAAAGCAATTCAAGTATCTTTCCAAAGTTTTCTCTGCATATACAATTCTTTTCTTTTTTTTTTTTTTTTTAAAGTCTTGCTCTGTCACTCAGGCTGGAGTGCAGTGGCATGATCATACCTCACTGCAGCCTCAAATTCCTGGCTTCAAGTGATAATCCTACCTCAGTCTCCCAAATAGCTGGGACTACAGGTGTGTGCCACTATACCTGGCTAATTATTCTTTATTATTTTAGAAGTGGGTGTCTTGCTACGTTGCCCAAGCTGATTTCAAACTTCTGGCCTCGAGTGTTCCTCCTGCCTCAGCCCCTGGAGTAGCTGAGATTATAGGTGTGAGCCACTGTGCCCAGCTCTACAATCAAATTCTTGTACGTTTGTGTGCATGAGTGCATGAATGTGTGCTTGTACACACACACAGTGCATGTATATGTAGTATTTTGCACTGCTTTTTGTAATTAATTTATCTTGAAAAATATTCGGTACCAAGCTTTCTCATTTTTTTGTTTTCATGGCTTCACAGACGTTCATTTTACTGAGGTACAGTACTTTAATTTGTTCTCTACTTGAAGGGTATTTAGGTTCTTTTCAATCTTTTGCTATTACAGTCAATGCTGCAGTGAATAACACTGAACATATCACGTTCCACTTGTGAAAGGAGATCTGTGGACAACAGTTAAAAGTGAAACTTTCAGTCAAAGGGCATGTGCACTTCTAATTTTGAAATACGCTACCCAATTGCCCTCCATAGCCAGTACCAACTATGTATGAGAGTGCCTGTTTCTCTTACGTCTTTTCAAATATATTATCAAACTTTATGATCTTTTCTAATCTAATAGGTGACAAATGGTATCTTAGTGTAAAATTTTTGTTTTAGCAACAAAATGATTTACTTTCAAGTCAATTCTCTTTCAAGTGTCCGATTATATAAAGGAGAAAGTCTCAATTTAGTATTTCTTTGCTGTAAACATTTTTTGTGACATGTGCTGATCTCTACTTTTTAAAAAATTAAACATCTGGAGAGTCACAGGAAGAAATGAAATAGTAATTTAAAAAATTCCATGTACCCTTTACCCAGAATCCCCCAATGTAAAACTGTACCACAATCAGGTTACTGACACTGATAGTTTAAGAGACAAAACATTTTCAACCACAAGGATCCCTCACATGTTGCCCTGTTACATGAACCATACCCACTTCCCTCCTGACCCATCTCCTTAACAGATGGCAATTACTCATCTCTTCTCCACTTCTATACTAATATTTCCAGAATGTTATTATATATAAATGGAATCAGAAACCTTTCTAAGTGTTTGGAAATTTTCCTATTTTCTTTTGTCAATGATTTTAAGTTTGATCCCATTGTGGTTCAAGAACATACTGTGTGACTTCAATGCTTTTATATTTGTTGAGGTTTATGACCCAGTATATGATCTATCTTGGTGTTTTGTGGGCACTTGAAAAGAATGTATATCTTGCAATTGTTGGGTGGAGTATTCTATAAATGTAGATTAGCTACTGTTGGTTGATAGTGTTGTTGAATTCTTCTATATATTTGCTGATTTTTTGTCCAGTTCTTCTCTCAATTGTTGAGAAGTGTTGAAATTTCTAACTGTAATTGTAGATTTGTCTATTTTTTCTTTCAGGTCTATCAACTGTTGTTTCAGTTATTTTGCAGCTCTTTTGTTTGGTGCACACACATTTATGACTGCTATGTCTTCTTGGTGAATTGATTCTTTTATAATTATATAATATCCCTCTGTCTCTGGTCATTTTCTTTGCTCTCAAGTCTACTTTATCTAATATTAATGTAACCATTCTGGCTTTCCTTTGATTAATGTTTGCACGATATAACTTTTTCCATTCTTTTACTTTCTACTAGCCTACATGGATATATTTGAAGGTAGTTTCTTTTAGTATCTTTTAGATAACACATAGGTGAGTCATGGTTTTTAATCCACTCTGAACATTTTCTAGAAATTTTTTTTACTTTTTTTTCTTTTCCTTTCTAAAAATTTATTTTGTTGACACAAGGTCTTGCTATGTTCCCCAGGTTGGCCTCAAATTCCTGGGCTCAAGAGATCCTCCTGCCTTAGCCTCCTAAGTAGCTGGGACTACAGGGGTATACCACTATGTCCACAGAATTCTATTTTGATTTTTTTTTTTTTTGAGATGGGATCTTGCTATATTGCCCAAGCTGGTCTTCAACTCCTGGGCTCAATCTATCTCCCCACATTAATCTCCTGAGTAGCTGGGAATACAGGCTTAAGCCACTGTGCTCGGCTCATCATTTTTTTGAGTGCACCTTTTTGTATACTTTTTAGTGGTTGCTCTAGGTATTACATTATATATACATAACTTATAGTCTACTAGTGTTGTCATTTTACTTGTTTGAGTAAAGTATAGTCACCCTACCTTACTGTATGTTTCTTTACCCTCTCATTTGTAATATAATTGTTGTAAATATTTCCTCTACTGTATTTAGAAACACATGAAATTCTGTTATAATTTTTGCTTAAACTGTCAAACATAATTAAGAAAATTCAAGATGAGAAGGAAAGTCTACTGTATTTACCCTTTTTTTTTTCTTGCCATGCTCATTCTTTCTCCCTGATGTTTCAAAGTTCTTCCTTTTACTATTTCCTTTCTGTTAAAAGAACTTCTGTCAGTGATTCTCTTAGGATAGGTCTGCTGGTAACAAGTTCTCTAAGTTTTCCTTTATTTGAGAATGTTCTGACCTTCCCTTCATTCCTGAAGGATATTTTTGCTAGCTCTTCAATTGTGGATTGACAGTTCTTTTCTTTCAGCACTTGAAAAATACTATGCCACTTCCTCTGCACACCCCCTCCCTCCTTCGGCTTCTGATGAGAAATGTGCTATCATTCTATTAGGTCATTAAATATGACATGTCTGATTTCAAATCAAAAGTTTAGTTTATTATATCTCAAACAAGAAGCAGTACAAATAATCAAAGTATGTGCCTAAACTATTGACACAGTTTTGCCATCTTAATGGCAGCTTGTTTATTCCAGCAGCAAAGAAGCCTGGAGAGCGAGTGGTGATGAAATCAAGAAAGGCGGTTTCCACAGCTTGTTGAGAACTGAGTATTTTTCCTTGCAAGAAGTGGTCCACGGCTGGAAGTGGTAGTCAGGTGGTGCAAGGTCTGGTGAATACGGTGGATGACAGAGAGTTTCCAAGTCCAGCCTTTGTAGTTTGAGCAGCGTTAATGTGGTCAGGTATTGTCTTACAAAAGGATTGGCCTGTCTCTATTGACCAGTCTTCGCTGCTTGTTCATAAGCATCCTCATCATTTTCTCCAATTGGTTGCAGTAGACATCCACTGTAATTGACTGACCAGGTTTCATGAAGCTGTAGTGGATAATACCAGTGCTGGAACACTAAACAGACACCATTAACTTTCTTGGATGAATATTCAGTTTTGGGCTGTGTTTCGGGCACTTCATTTTTATCCAACCATTATGCCGAATGCTTGTGATTGACAAAAAGAATCCATTTTTCATCACATGTAACAATACAGTGTAGAAATGGTTCACCTTTATGTCGTGAATGCAAAGAAAGGCAAGCTTTGAGACAATTTCTCTCTGACACTCGTTTAATTCATGTGGTACCCATCTATCCAGCTTCTTTACCTTGCCCGTTTGTTTCAAATGGTTCAATGTTGTTGGAATAGTAATGTCAAACCTTGCTGCTAATTCACATGTAGGCTGAGATGGATTGCTTCCACTACAGCTTTCAGCTCATCATTATCCACCTTGGTCTCAGGTTGCTCATGTGGCTCATTTTCAAGACTAAAATCACTAGAATGGAACTTCTCAAACCATCGAGTACTGTGTGTTCATTAGTCACATCCTTCCCAAACACTTCATTGATATTTTGAGCTGTCTGCACTGCACCGGTCTCATGACAGAACTTATATTTGAAAATAACGGGAATTTTTGACTTATCCATGGTTTCACAAAAATTGCTCTAAAAAAATATGAAAGATAATCACAAACCATGCATTTGAAAGAATCAGAATGCACCTTCACAGTAAAAATAGATCAAGAAGTGTCAAAGTGAAATGTCAGAGATATTAACTGTTAAACTTAGTGTTTAAGGAAATCAGACATTTCATACTTAATAACCTAATAATTGTTTTCCCTCTACAAATAAGGTACACCTTTTATCAAGATGTTTTGGTCTTTAGTTTTAAAAAATTAAATTATAATGTGTGTTAACATAGACATTTTTTGATTTATCCTGCTTGGGTTTCACAAAGCTTTTTGAACATAGATTTGTAAGCTTTATAGAGCTTTATGTTTCACCAAATTTGGGAGCTTTTCAGTCATTATTTCTTCAAGTATTTTTTCAGACTCAGCCTCTTTCTCCTCTTCTTGGACTCAGATAACAGGAATGTTAGATCATTTATTAAAGTCCCTGACTCTCTGTTCATTGTTTTTAAGTCTATTTTCTCTGATGTTCAGACTAATTTCTACTGTTTTATCTTTCAGTTTGCTGATTCTTTCTCTTGCTGTACCCCCATCCCCACTCTGTTCTGCTGTTGGGCCCAGCTATTGAGATTTTTATTTCGGTTACTGTATTTTCAGTTCTAAAATGTCCATTTGGTTGTTCTTTATATTTTCTATTTCTTTGCTGAGATTTTCTGTTTTTCATTTGTTTCAACTGTGTTCCTAATTGCTCAATGTGATATTTCTATCATGATTGCTTAAATATCTTTGTCATTGGCATCTGCTTTTTTTTTTTCATTCTGTTTGAGCTCTTCTTGGTTTTTGGTATGATGAGTTTTGATTGAAACTTGGACATTTTCATGAAACTCTGGATCTTATTTAAAATTTCTATTTTAGCTGGTTGTTTTAAAATACTGCTCTAACAGGGAAGAGGGCGGGAGGTGGGGGGGTGGGGGGGACTGTGAAAGTGCTGCCTCATTACTGTCAGGTGGAGGTAGAAGATAGGTTCCCCACTCAACTTGACACCTGGGAAGTAGGGAAAATCCTTATTACTGCTAGGTGGAGATAGGAGTTCTGGCTTCCTATATGGTGTCCACTGACACAGTGGTAAGGGTGGCCTCATTACTGCTGGGTAATTGTAGAAATCCTAATTCTCCACAAAGCCTCTTCTGAACTACCCCGTGGAGAGGGAGAGAGTCATCTCCCCCTGTTGAGTAGGGACAGAATTATAGGTTTCCCACATAGTCTCTAATGACATTGGGCATGTGGTGTGGATGGAAGATTCATTATCAACCAGTGGACATGAAAATCTGCGCTTTCTACCTACCTGGCCTTCTCTGACACTATCTGATACTACCCTAGTGTGGTGTTGCGGGCACCTTATTACAGCCTCATGAAGATGGAAGTCGAGGCTTCCTACTTGAACTTTGCTACGAGGGGTGGGGATAAGGTCAAAGTATTTTCTGTGTTTGGCTAAAGTACAGTGGTTATTGTCTAATTTTTTTGGGAGGCATCTTTTTAGGGGACTCCTTTCTTGATCCTTTGGCTAGAAAGAACAAGCTTTTGTTGGGGGGTTTTTTGGGTCTGTGCCTGTTGGTGTTTCTAGGTTGCTGGCTTCTTCAGCTCCAAGTTTGGGATATATGAGGCAAAAAGAAAACCCAGAAAACTCACCAACATGTCATTCCTCAATCCTAAAGCATGTATCATCACTTCATTCCTTTATATGGCCGAATAATACTCCAGTGTATGGATATACCACATTTTGTTTATCCACTCATCCACTGATAGACATCTGGGTTGTTTCAACCATTTTGCTATTATGAATAATGTTGCTATAAACATTTATGTATAGTTTTTGTGTGGACACACAGTTTCATTTTCTTAGGTATATACCTAGGAGTGGAACTGGTCATATGGCATCTCTGTGTTTAATTGTCTAATGCACTGCCAGACTGTTTTCCAGTGATTGTACCATTTTACATTCCCACTGGCAGTGCATGAGGGTTCAGATTGCTCCAAATCCTATCTTATAGTTGTTATATGACTTTTTGATTCTACCCATCCTACTGGGTGTGAAATCGTATTTCACTATGGTTTTGATTTGCATTTCCCTGATAGCTAATAATGTCACATGCACATCTTTTCGTGTGCTTATGGGCCATTTATATATCTTCTCTGTAGAATTGTCTAGTTAGGTCCTCTGGTCATTTTAAAAAATTAAGTGTTTTCTAATCATTGATTTGTATGAGTTCTTTGTATATTCTAGATACAAATGTTGTTGTAAATGACATATCAGAAAATAATGATAAATGATATATCTATTATTTTCTCCAATTCTGTGGGATATCTTTTCACTTCGTTGATGGTGTCCCTTGAAGCACAAAAGTTTTAATTTTGATGAAGTACAATTATCTATTTTTCCTTTCTTGCGCCTGCTTTGTGTCTTATCTGAAAATCCTTTGCAATATCCAAAATCACAAAGATATACCCTATATTTTCTTATAAAGTTTTATAATTTTAAGTGTTACATTTAGATGTTTGATCCACTTAAGTTAATTTTTGTATATGGGGTGAGATAAGGGTCTGACTTCATTCATTTGCATATGGCTATCTGGTTGTGTCAGCACCATTTGTTGAAAAGACTATTTTTTTCCATTGCATGGTCTTGGCACCCTTCTCAAAAACCAGTTGACTACAGATGTGTGGGTTTATTTCTGGACTCTCAATTCTATTTCATTAATTTACAAGTCTATTCTTGTGCCAGCACTACCACACTATCTTAATTAGCATTGCTCTGTAGTAAGTTTTGAAATCAGGGAAGTGTGAGCCATCTCAGTTTGTTCTTCTTTTTCATGTCTCCCTCTCTTTTACTAATACTTTTATGATTTTTTTAAACAGAAAATCTATTTAGGATTTTTTTATACTTATCAAAGCATTTTAACATACATAATCTCAACTGAACTTCATATCATCTCTGCTGGGTAAAAAAGCATATTACCTTTGACAAATAAGCAAAGAAGCCAGATAGCTTAAGTAACTCATACAAGGGAAAACAGCACGTTAATTCAATCCAACAATCCCACTACTGGATATTTATTCAAAGGAAAAGAAATCAATATATCAAAAAAGGGATATCTGCAACCCCATGTTTACTGCAGCACCATTCATAATAGCAAAGATACAAAATCAATCTAAGTGTCCATCAACAGGTGGATGAAGAAAATGTGATATACATATATATATATATATACACACACACACACACACACACAAACACAAACACACACACACACACACACACACAATGGAATATTATTAACCCATAAAAAGGAATGAAATCCTGTCATTTGCAGCAACATGGATGAAAATGGAGGTCATTATGTTAAGTGAAATAAGCCAGGCAGAAAAAGACATAGAGCGCATGTTCCCACTCAAATGTGGGAGGTAATAAAGTTGATTTCATGGAGGTAAAGAGTAGAATGATAGTTATCAGAGGCTGGTAAATGGGAGGGATAAAGAGAGGTTGGTTAATGGGTACAAAAACACTTAGACAGAAGGAATAAGTTCTAGTGTTTGATAGCACAGTAGGGTGACTATAGTTAACAATATATTGTATATTTCAAAATAGCTAGAAGATCTGAAATGTTCCCAGCACAAATAAATGATAAATGTTTGAAGTGATGGATATCCTAAATACCCTACAGTCATCATCATTACACATTGTATGCATGTATCAAAATATCAGATGTACCGTATAAATACGTACATTATGTAGCAATAAAAATTTAAATTTCCTGTGTACTGTAAGTTATCTATATATGCTTTAAATATATTTTCATCAAAATCTTGGAGCTACAGATTCAATATACATAAAATATCAGGTATTAACTTAATGATAAACCAATCAGCCACATAAGATTCACTTTCTTTATTTTTTTTTCTTTGAGACAGTCTTGCTCTGTTGCCCAGGCCAGAATGTGGTGGCGTCATCACAGCTCACAGCAATCTCAAACTCCTAGGCTCAAGCACTCCTGCCTCAACCTCCCAAGTAGCTGGGACTACAGGTGCATGCCTGCCCACTCGGCTAATTTTTTCTATTATTAGTAGAGATGGGCTTTCACTCTTGCTCAGGCTGGTCTCAAACTCCTGCCCTCAAGGGTTCCTCCTGCCTCAGCCTCCCAGAGTGCTAGGGCTGTAAGTGTGAGCCACCATGCCCAGTCTTCAGATTCACTTTTTGTTAGAACATGTCTATAACTTCATTTTTCAATTCAAATAAACATATTAGTATAAACTCCTATGACAAATACCTAGCTTCTGAGTTATAATTCTAAGAAATACAGATATGATACAGGAACCTTGGCATGAGTTAGTTGCCAGGACATATAAAGTACAATATATTTTAATATTTCTTGCTTTGCTGTTAGGGACTTGCTCTTAAAAGTAAACCCTCTTGGATTATTTCTTTTATTGGTGCCAAATCACTCTGGGACAACGTAGGATTTGAGGTGGGTGAGTAGCCTTTCTTTTACAAAGTAAAGAACAGAAAAGGGGAGGCCAGATACTGTAGAAGGGTTCGCTGGCATTTAGTAAATTTGAGGATCTGGAAGCTAATTTCTTCCAAACTAAGTGTGCCTATGTGACCCTGGAAACCCTTAGTTTAGCCCTAAGGTCTCAGTTTAAAGAACATCAGTCTAGTGGTCACAGCCGTAAGGAAAATCTAGATCTTATAAACCTATGAGTTTAGTACTCTTTGACAATATATTATCTTATGAAACATCTTTCCTTTCAAAGTACCAACTTGCTGCTTGTAGATGAGATGCAATGCAGAAACAACAAACCCATTGTTAAGATGTTGTATCTTCTAAAATAATGTTCCTAAAATAAACTAGAAAGAAAAAAAAAACAACCCTCTGCTTCCAAATAGAAATAAAATTTTCAAATATTTAAAAACAATACCTCCCAACCAAGACCAGCTACAAAATCCTCATAAGCTTGACTTCCTCCTGTATTGGTGAGAATGGAGTGTTTGTCCTCTTGTCCTTCAGCAACATAAAATACTGCTATCTTGTGTGTCTCTCGGCTGTAAAACAAAAGATTACACCATTCATTTAATCATTAATTTATACATTCATTCATCCAATAATTAAGTTCTATGTACAAAGTATGTGGCAACAAAAAGATAAAAAGACTTAAATCTTATCATCTGCAAGAGACAAATAAATACAAGTAAAAAATTATAGAAGTTACAAAATTGCCATTGGAACACAAGAAAGGCATGATTATTTCTGATTGAGGAAAAAAAAGAAACTTAAAAAGTAAGATAATATTGAGTTAGGTGAAGGTAAGAAAGATTTGATAAATGAAGAGAAAGAGTATGAAGAAGGACAGATACATAGGTGTGAATGCATAAAACATCTGAAGAGTTGTGTGTTGCACAATGTGACTGAATCCCAGGGTTAAATAAGTGGGAGTACATAGATGAGTGAGAAATGATGTGTTCCTTCAGAGTACTTACAATATAGAAAAAGAAATGTATACAGTCATGTGTCACTTAAGAACAGAGACATGTTCTGAGAAACATGTTGTTAGGCATTCTGTTGCTGTGTGAACATCATAGAGTGTACCTACACAAACCTACATGGCATAGCCTACTGTATGCTGTATAGGCTACAAACCTATACAGGATGTTACTGTGCTGAATACTGTAGGCAGTTGTAACAAATGATATAGTAAGTATTTATGTAGCTAAACACAGAAAAGGTATGGTAAAAATATGGTATTATAATCTTACAGGATTGCCATCATATATGTGGTCTGGTTGCTGACAGAAACAACATTATGTAGCAAATGACTGTATACAAACATAAAACTGTATGGAGTAACTGCCAAGTTCTTAGATATTTTTAGTTTTTTTCTGAATTTAAAAGTTCAGAAAAGCAAATTTCTAGTTTGAAATTTGGCTTTCCAAGTTAACTAGAACATACTACGTTTGGTGTAGGTTGATTTAACAAAGCATGGGGTAACAAACTTCATGAACAGAAGTAAAGTTTTCACTGCTATACCACGTAGGAATTAAAAAAACAAACCACAACCAACAAGTAAATAACAATTAAAGTTATTTAAAAAAATTTAGTCTGATGACCGTATTTTCCAATATATCTTGAAGAAATTGCCAAATCATGATTGTGGGTTTCGGCATCAGTAAAAAGGGTGTTTTAGCTGCTTTCAATAATGGGAATATTTTACTTTAGGTGGTAAACAGATAGACAAACTTTCAGCATGCCCAATGTGTCATTAGGATAATCTAGCGTAAGTAGTAAAATATAATTTGGGGGTGAGGGAGACTTCTGGAATTGCAGAATAAAGATCTATGTGGCCTTTCTCCTAAGTAAAACATGACTTGACTGTTGAAAAGGAACATCATTTAAAGTCTCTGGATATTGTCCTAAAGTCATACAGCAAATGGGGAAAGATTCATTCAAGAAAATTTACTAAATCTTGGTAAGAACAGAGTTTTCAACATGAGTTGCAAACTGTTCCCTTACCCTACCCATGAGCACTATGTTGCCGAAGTTCTGCCCAGGGCATTCTACTCAGGCCTAGTAGACAGAGGCTCCCTTTCTCCTTCAGCTCCCAGTCTGGGGCTGTGATTTCACCCCAGAAGAGGCAGGTTACTGTAGGTATTTCTCATTTTTTCCCTGCCCCGTATTACAGAAGCTCTATTCTAGATAAGTATGGCTGAGAAGACCGGGTCTCCCTTCCCTCACTTAGCTTCTCTCGTACAGAAGAATCTCTAAGTGTGAAAGGCTGATGGTCCCAATCTTAACCATTCCAACTTGCTCACAGTGTGGAGATTCTACTAGGAAGAACAAGCTGAGAAGACCAGGGACTACCAACCCCTCCCAAGTGTCCACTTAGAGAGTGAGTGTGTCACTCCAGGAAAAGCTGGTCCCTGACCCTAGCTCAGGTATAGTAACAGACAGGTTCTGCCCAGGGTGAAAAGCAGGTCATAAGGACAAAGAACTCTGCTGCAGTTCTACCTCAGGCGACTGCCTTTATGTGGAATAGAGCTTAGAGGTAAGCAATTAAGAGAAGCTGGCACAACCAAAAGAGCAAAGCAGCCAGAAGTTTACTAGAAAGAATCAGGAAAAGGAACAGCAAAGAAGAGCCCTTCTTGGGATCACCGTCAATTGTGGAGGTCAAGCAGCCTGTGCACATGCACTAGGCTATGCCCTGTAGGAACAATTAGAGTAAGATGTAGGACAGACATGAAAGCATTCCCAAAGTCACATAGAGACCTATGAACACAAGGTAAAGCCTCATTGGCACTGAATAATACCCTATTTGAACTCAGGGTCAATTCCTAGGAAGCTTAGACTTAAAAATAACATCTAGTCATTCCTGGTAGTATGAAAAACTGTGCATGCCTAAGACTGTACCCTCTTTGTGGTGGTCAGAGAGTGAACCTTCAAGCTATTAATATACAGGTGAATGTAGGAGAAAAAAACATAAACACTCTGAACTGTGACAGCAGCCTAAAAGGCACACACATTCAATAGTAAGCAATACAAATCTAACTGGCTAAGGGGACTAAAGCACAAACTTTGCTCAGTAAGTAGGTGACATCGAATTAAGGAAGAACCCTAAATAACCAGGCTAAGAAACAATTTTTTAAAAATCTGAGCAGGGAGATTAGAGGCTACGTACTGTGGGGAAGCTAAGTCACTAGAAAATAACAAGTGACTAAACCTACAGCAACCACCAACAATGTATTTTTTTTTTTGAGATAGAGTCTCACTCTGTTGCCTGGGCTAGAGTGCTGTGGCATCAGCCTAGCTCACAGCAACCTCAAACTCCTGGGCTCAAGCAATCCTTCTGCCTCAGCCTCCCATATCAATGTATTTTTGATTCAAAGATGCAGACAAAGTTGAAAGTCAAAGGAATGGAAAACAATACCATACAAACAAAATCTAAGAGAGCTAGAGTAATATTAGACTTCCAAACAAAAAAATGTTAGAGATAAAGAGATACAATTCATGACAAAAGGTCATTCTAACAGGAAGATACGAAAATCACAAACACATATACATGCATCTAACAACAGAGCCCCAAAATACATGATACAAAACCAAGATAGAATTGAAGGCAGAAATAGACATTTCCACAATAGTAGCTGGAGACTTTAATATCCCATTTTCAATAATGGACAGAATATCTAGAAAATATTAAAAGAAATGGAAGACTTGAACAACAATATAAGCCAACTAGACTTAACAGACATCTTTAGAACACTCTCCCCTATAGTAGCAGAAAATTCTTAAGTATTTATGCATAAGCATATATGACATCTCCTAAGCATACATGACATCTCTTAAGCATACGTGACATCTCTTCCAGGACAGACTATATGGAAGCTATAAAATAATCCTTAAAAAATTAAAAGGATTGAAATCATGCAAGGTATATTTTCCATCCACAATGGAATGAAAGTATAAATCAGTAAGAGAAAATCTGGGAAATTCACAAATGTGTGCAAATGAAACACCACACTCCCAAATAAACAATGGATCAAAGAATAAATCTCGGAAAATATAAAATACACAGAGATGAATGAAAATAAAAATACAATATGCCAAAACTGATGGCATGCAGGTAAGCAGTGCTCATTAGGAAATTTACAGATCTAAATGTCTATTTTAAGAAAGAAAAGCTTTCATACCAATAATCAAACCTTCCACCTTAAGAAAACAGAAAAACATCTGTACCCCCATAATATGCTGAAATAAAAAAAAAAAAAAAAAAAAAAAAAAAAAAAAAAAA